GCTCTTATTAATCACTTGGCATTTGGCTATGACAAAAGGTAACATTATTATTCAACTATTAAATGTTGAGCCTAAAATTACTTAATAAAAATATCTTAATCATGAAAACTGCCTTAAATATGATCTCTAAAAGATTTTTGTTCACAGACTTGGACTCCTGTGACTCAGCTGCCTATCTCTGCAGTGATAACTCCTTGTTTTTGATCCCCAGACTGATGAATTTAAAACATGGTCACCACTTGAATTGAGTACTTTTTTATTTACATACATTTGTATGCAAAGCCCAGTAAGAATCTAGTTTTGGCTAGAATAATATAATTTTTGATCAGTTGGTAAATGCTTCCCTAATGCATTTTCTTTTTTTCTCTTCAGCAAGTCTGTGTCAGTGGATCCCAGCAAACCTCTGTTTATACCAGCAGGCCTGGACTCGCTGAGCCAAATAGGTTAGGACATTTCCTGTTCATTGCATTTGCTGCTTAATTGTTTTGAAAATGAGAAACCTTTTCAGCAAATTAATAAATTACAGCACATCAGCATCGATCTTAACACATATTCAAGGAAACAGCTTATAAATTTCATGTCACAATTCAGTATATTATTGAGAATTATTAGTACAGGTTTGTTAGGTAGTTTAATAAAGTATCAGAACTATGTCAAGTAGTAAAGTACCAATAAGCTCAGATTTGGAAGAAAATATATAATACCTGTCAGCCCGTTGCATGGTAGGTGATCAATGTTTTTTCAAACTTGTTGCAGCTTGTCAATGTAGAAGACAAAATACTAAATTAGATGGATCCTTGTGCAGAATTACTTGATAATTTATGTTGTTATGACAACAGACTTTTCTTCCATTGTGCTGTAATCCTTAGGACCACCACCTGCCTCTGACAGTGATATTGGAAAGCTGCGTGCAAACACACCTTGGGAACTGTGGAAGAAAGTGTTTGAGAAAACATTTCCTCCCAAGGTAGGTATTTCCATGCCAGACACACAGCTGCTTTTCTCACAGAACAGGAGTATTATACCTACTAATTTTTGTCCTTCAAGTCCAGTGACTGGAAGTCGTCTCACTTAGCAGTTCTCTGTAATTGATGCATTTTTGAAAGATACAGATTTGTATGTACTGGTGCTTTGATTATGAGCTTCTACATCTTCAGTCATCTTCCTAGATTTAGAAATCATGAAAGATGCTGTTCTCAGTATAATATGCCCCAACATGATAAAGACTAAACTTCACTTTTCAGAACCTATACAGAACTGTTGTTTTTCATATTATTTTTCCTCATAGCCTTTAAAAGCACAACAAACAAACATTTCTTCCCCCATGAACCACCCCAAGTAATTCCTGGACTCCCCCTGAAGCAGCTGGAGAAATGAATACACTTCTCATTCAGCAAGCTCCATTAGTGTTCATCAGTGTATCTGTCTAATTAGAGATTTAAACATGTGCCAGTAGATTCCCAATCTTCTGGTTTGGTTTCTATGCATTGTACATTTCTTCTTCCATTGCCTCATCTAAGAAGTATAATTCTGCTTTATTTCATTCCATCATCTGTATGATTGCCTTCTTGGTACTTTCCATTTGTTAAGAGTAATGAGAAATGTGCAGGACAACATTTTTAAAAACCCTCTTTATTTGATAGTGTTTCTTTCTGTGAGTGCATTTGCTTCTCTGGAATTAAAGTTACAGTTCCCCCAAGGTTAGTAAGTGAAAACTCAGATTGTTTGGCAAAAACATAGTGATCATTTTCTTGTTAAAAGAACAGAAGACAAATTCTATCATATGGGTTTTTGTCCTTTTTTTTTCTTTCAGAGTTTGCGTGATTTACAAGACACCAAGGACCCTGCACAGGATACACAATATGCTGAGTATGAAGTGGATGTCATGAGAGCTGAGAAAAACCAGGTGTGTGGTAGTTCTTCAATTGCTGTTCACAGTCAGATATTCCAGAACCATCAGCATTGCTGAATTAATTGTAGAACATACTAGTACTCCCCTTTTTGCCTTTCAATTACTTCAGCCTTAGATTTCAGCTTAGTAGTTGGTTGGGTTTTTTTTCCATTGGTAGATATTAAGCCAGTAGAGCATTGTTAGTTCTCAAACTTTTGGCTCTGAGTTTCTTGAGAAAGTAAGAATTCAGTTTTCTCACTGTTTTATGGAATTACTTGACTAAAATAATATTGAAGCAAAACTCTGAAGCTTTCTTGATAACAGTTTCTTCATTCTTGCACCCTGTACTCTCCTTTGGGTGCTGACTAACAGAAAATCTAGGAGACAATAATAAGGCCTGAGGTGGGCACTGTTTACTTTTTTTTATTATTTCTGTCTTTCTCATTGAAATCTTCTTATTTAACCTGAAAAGATACTGAGATGATGACATTTCTAACCCGAGTTTGCAGGCTATGTACATTTTATCTTAAACAGAATGAATAGAATTATTCCATGTAGTGATATGTGGCTTAACCTCTGAATTCCAGGAAAAACTTTTAGCAGGAAAAGGGTCTTTTATTTTTTTCTTATTAATTCTGAAGTGTTTCTTCATTTCTCTTGATCAGTGGTGAATTAATTTTACGGAAAAATTCTGTGGCAAACTAGATAAAGGTTAAAACATTGCCTTTTAGCTATCAGTGTGTAACATCACCTGAGTAGCAGTACTGTATATAAAACATTATTATAGCTAGGGGTCTGTTAAAATCAATCCAAGATTTATCCAAAGAAGAAAGCAATTTCAGGAATCCCCTGCAGCCTTTGAACCTGCATGTTACCTGTAATGTCCTGTTAATGTAGGCATCTGTTCTGAGTTTCTGTGACATCAAGAGCAGTCCTAGAAAGCATTGAAATTTGTAAAGCACACTGCTTTTGAACTTTATTATACAAGCTCATACTCAGTATATCTACATATCTCAAAATAACTGTATGGTTTGTTATTTTTGGATAAAGTAATGCCTTGCAGAAGAAGATACTGGGATTGAGTGATCAAATCATACAGGAAATGATTAATTTTCTAGTTTTAAACAAAGGAGGCTTTTATAGAATCTTAATCTGTTCAAGGGTATTGCAAACCAGTGTAGCTTCTTTTAGTTGGACTACTGCAAGTAATTTGAGGTTTAAAGAGAAAATTACTTTTGTTATCTGCAGCTATTTCCTAAACTTCTCTGTCACAAAGTTCAATTTTTACAAGATTATTTGCACATTATTAAACAGTTTTATACTCCAAGAATTTGAAATGCTCCAAGATAGAAATGTACATCTAAAAGAAAAGAACTCTGTAGTTGCAGTGTTTCTTGAAGTGTAATTTTATTTCCCAGTTACATGAAAAGTGGCACAAAAATGCTATTTTTAAAGCAACTTTTTTAATGCCTCGTAAGTCTGACATTCTTTATAGAGTCTCATGGTATCTGTTGTGTGTTAAGTATACTAAGTGTATTAAGATGTTTGATATGCAACATGTTGCTAATGCAATCATGGGGCATAATGCAAAATGAAAGTTTCATGTGATGGCAGGGAATGTTTGGTGTTATCATTTTTCTTGGTTACTTTTGGTTAATTGGTATGTTACTTTGGACTCTAGGTGATAACCAGTTTGCTTATTTATCTCCAAGATAAGCTTTAAAAAAACCAAACACAAAAGCAGCAACAGACACAAAAAATAGCTCCTGTCACTGCATATGATAGAAGAACCAGCACCCTGACTGACACAGTCATGGCTGGGGCTGCTCAATAATACTGCAGTAGATTTATAGGTAACTGTGGCAATGCAAAGCTTAAATAAATCATTTCCAACTTTGTAACTTCAGTTGAAGGGTTTGCCTGCAGCTAGGATTTGTATGTTCTAGCAGAGTAAAATGTTGAATCCTCACATATAAATAGAAAACAGTTTGGGTTATTTTTAAAAGTACAAAATGAAGAAAGTGCCTGGCTCACTCCCAGGTACTCTGTCAGCTAGTATTTATCTGAGATGCTTTTTGGCTGTAGAAGTCAAGAGTCCAACTCATCAGCATTCTGCCATGACAGTGTTTTCTTTTAGACCAGATTATTTTGCCTCCTTAATATTTTCAGAGTTAACTATGAGACATACCACTCTCTCCAAATGTTTGTGCTCTGGAAAGCTCTCTGAGGCTGTTTTCCTCACTTCGCCTTTCTTCAAGATCGAGCACATCTCTCTTTCTCAACTATGTGCAGGTTTGTATCAAATAGTGCTGTTGCAATTATTCATTACTTCTTTCGTTCTCTGTAGTTGAGATTTGAAAGGGACAATATAGCACCAGAGACACTGTAGGAATTTACATTTCTAATGTAATTCTTAACTAGCAGATTCTCTCCAGGAATTACTGGAATTTTGTGCTCTGTGCCAGGCTTTCAAGATTGAAGAAAAACATTGTTTGCCTAGTTATTAGGCGTTAAATGTCCAGCTTTCAGTTAACTCTTCATACATAAACCACATGGCAAACTTGTCATCCATGTCTCTCCAATCCCTGTTAGCTTTTTGGCTTTTTATGCTTTAAGGTCACCTTAATTTGTTTTTTGGCACACACATAACTTGAATAAGAGTGAGATCTTTTAAAATAATATTGTTGATTAGAGCTACACATATACCACCTGCATCTCTGAGCACTTAGGGGGCATGAAAGTCTTGTTCCTTAATTCACCTAAGTGTTTGGCAGTGAGATGGCACATGGGGATGTCTGCTCTATTTCTTTTAGAAATTCTCTCTGCCACAGATTTAAGTACTCCAAGATGCCTTTTCAAAGGTTGTTGTTTGTTTCAGGTCTTAACTATCTTGTTATGCCTATACTGCTATTACTCAAAATAGGTGCTTGGACATTCCTGATCTGGACATTTGAGTGCAGCTTCGTTATTGAAGCAGCTGATAAAACTAACCTTGAGCTCCAAGAACTGGAGAGCCTCCTGCTCAGGTACTTATGAAGTCAGTGTCACACAGTGCCAAAGTTCACACTGACTGGTCCTCGTTACACAAAGTTATTACTTCAGGCATGGGTGCCAGTTTTAGCTGAAGCCCTGAGGAATAATCAAAAAGAAAAAAATAAATGAGATGCCTGGTGCCATTTGGTGCCAGCCAACAAGAAGTAATGACAGCAGATCTTAACAAATAGGGCTGTAACTGTTAAGACTTTAACAAGTCATAGACACAAGAAGGTTCTACAACATCTCACAAGGAGGCAGTGACCTAATTAACCATGTCACTCACAACTAAATGTGACCTCAGTGTCAGATCTGCAGCTGTCTGTTTGAGATGGGGAGTCTCTTGGCCAACAGAATGAGAACCCTGGTTTTTCAGCATATGAACATATTACTGAATTTCAGGAGACAATTTCAATCTTATTCAACAGAACAGAAGATTGCATACCGTGCCATGAACCTCTTGTCAGAGCAGTGTTACTGGGCAGAGAACTATGACAGACATCTACCTTAATCCGGATGACAGAGCAGTACCACCTTTCATTTTCTCCAGAGGAGGAGATGTGCTACTCTTCATGTTGTGGAGAAAAGAGTTGTCTAGGATTCTTACTGAGCTGCCAAGAATAAACTTGCTTGTTTTCACATGAAAGCATGTCCAAATGGGTAAAGCAAGGTTTCATTTTTAAACCAACTTCTCCTGGAGTTCAGGTGCTAAAGATTTTTAATCAGTATTTCAGTACTTGGTGGTTTTCACCATGTTCCAGACTGAAGGTACTGCCAGTAAGAAACTGCATGAAAAGGAAAGTTATAGTCATATCAGTTCCTCAGAACTGAGGAAATGCAACAATTAAGGCTTTTCTTACAATCTTAATTTTTCCTCCTTGTTTGTAGACATTATAGTATTGTCTTTAATTACATGATCATATACTGTTTTGCTGATGTCTCAATTCAATTGTTCAGTATTTCTTTTCATCATCTTTATTCTTTATGTACCTTATTTCTCAACCTGCCATTCAGACACTTCAATGAACACAAAAGTATTAATTTTTTTTCTCTGAGAGTCTGTGCTAATGTTATCTTATGCGAGTGCCTCACAAACATCAGTTAAGTCTTTCTTCCCAATCCCTTTATGAGATTAGGTGTGATCTTGCCTATTTGACAGATGAAGAATTTACAGAAGCACAAAAGTACAGAAGCATGAAGATTAAATAAAATTTTTAACTCCACTTTATGCCAGTGTTGAGACTTCTCGGATGAGTTGCCAGCACTAAGAATGTTTAAAGCACTCAGAACACATAGAAAGCATGTTTGAATTGCAATTTTTATTTCTTTGTAAAGCTGATCTCTGCCCCCTGTACTTGCTAGCCACAAAACAAACATAGCATAATGCTAGCAGGAAGATTTTGGCATACTTTGAGATATATTCTTTTGTAGGATCTTCTTTCAGTTTGGAGGGAGGATCTCTTAGCTGGTTGCATATTTAGAGTATATTCTAGAATTTTGCTTATGTTTATAATTTAGAATTAAGGTGCCCTTTGTCCAGAGGGTCTCTGGAGTGATCTTTAAGTAGTAATTGAAAGATTTTTCCATTGATCTTTTGACTTCTATGGATGTGTTTTCCTTTCTGATTTGCACAAAAACTAAGAAAGTCTATTTTCCTGACAGTATTTTTCTCCTAAGTCACTGAAATTTATTAAAATTGATTTTTTTGTAAGCATCCTCCCATTTAATCCAGTTTTCTTTTTCTTTCTTTTCTCCTCATTTAAATGTTAGCCATACCTAGATATACCTTCAAAATAAGTATTTATCATTTTGTTCTGTACTTCTGTGTGTAGTGGAATAACTTTTATGTATGTTTATTAAAACATACAGTGTTATTATATGCTGTATTGTTTTGAATTGCCTTTACAATGAATTGCCTTCTAGGCTAGCTAAAATTAGAGCAAAATTCTGCTAAATTATCTACCTCTTACTTGAAATTGTTTAGCCAACACCTGTAGACATGACCCCCAGATGGCATTGTCATTATCTGTAAAACTTCATTGTCTAATTTTACCCCTTCCTGAAGCCTTTGAGAAAGTTGTTAGAATTGAAATTACTTACTTAGCATAAAGCAGGTTACATGTGCTCCTTAAAATATCACAGTATTCTTTCTATTCCTAACTGCTGGCAAGTTTCCAGCAGTTCAGTATGTTCCAAGATCATAATTACTTGGTATTAATAATGAGGGAGTGGAAATCCTGAGTAAAGACCAGCTTAGAGAGAGAACAGTTCAGTAGTACTGGAGTTGTATCTAATAATGCCACTGACTAGATTTAGACTAGACACAATATGTTCTGTGTCAGTCATCTATTGTGTTACTTAACTGTAAAACTAGACTTCTGCAAGCATCAGGGAGAATGTGCACTAATTAAAAATCTTCTTACTGCTCTTACATCTGTGGTGCTTTCTGAAAACTTTGCCCTGCTGACAAAGCTGCTGAAGTTATTTCCTGAGATAATTCCATTTTTATTTCCATGCAATCTTAAGATGATGATTGCTTTGTTGCTCTGCCCTTTAATTTCTTCTTCCTCCTTCTGTGTTCCAGATTGAGAGTTAATACTTTTGTTAAATTCACCAAGAGTCAATTACATTATTTTTGTCAGTTCTGATGTCTGCATTCCCTACAGGCTTTGTAACTTCACAGTTTGTGTCTCTGACTGCTTTTAATAATCTATCTAAAGATAGATAATTTTAATTACCAGGTTGGGTTTGCAATCTACTAAACAGGAGCACCTAAAGATTGTGAAGCAGCAGTTTCCATTGGAGTAATCCTGGTTTCTCTTCTTTAAACACATGTAGTGTTGCATGTCTGTATGTTCGTAGGGAGCCTGGTTTCTCAGACTGGTTGTGTAAGGAAAGAGACAAAACTTCCTCTTTCCCAGAAAGTATCTAGGCATTAATAAATAAGTACATAAATACAATCTTCCTATATTGTGGATATTATGTTGTGGATGCACCAAGCTTGGTGGTGGACAAGGCCAGGTTGGATGAAGTCTTGAGCAGCCTGGTGGAGTGGGAGTTGTCCCTGCCCATGGCAGTGGAGTTGGAGACCACATAATCTGAAAGGTCCATTCCAACCCCTTCACATACTATGATAAGATACATGAGAGCAAATGTGCCAAAATTTAGAGCACTCTTAGTATAATTATCTTAAGTATAAAATCAATATAAGTACATCTTTTTCTACAGTGAAAACTGTTTGTACATACATACATGAGCCAGTTAAATATTTAAACTATCTTACAACTTTTAGTAATGAGAAGATTAGTTTAATATGTGGCTATGTTTCTGTTTCAGGAACTTGAACGATACAAAAGAAATGCCTCTAAATCCTGGAAAGAAATGGATTTTGACTCTGATTGAAGAACAGCTATAGGTGTTTCCAGTTTACCAACATGTGCAAAATTATTTGAATCATTTTAACATTACACTAGCAATTTAATCTGATGCAGTTGTTGAAAATACATAATATCTAACTACAAAATTAGTATGTGTTAAGCATCCCTGCTGTTATTTTTCATAGAAAGGGCTGTTTCATTCAGTCCAAATTTGTGTATCTTGGCACTATGTTATTTTTCATAGAAAGGGCTGTTTCGTTCAGTCCAAATTTGTGTATCTTGGCATTTGCACAGAGTTTTAAAAAGTGGGGAGAAAGGAATTCTAGATTGCTCATAGTTGGGTTTGAATATGAAGACTGGCATCAGTTGATTCTATCTATGTTTGTAAGTTACAACACATTATTTGGTTTATTTTGAATACTTCTGCTTTAAACATGTATTTAAATATAGACAAGTTTTTACACTCAAAATATGAAACTGCATAGTAAAGTGTGCTATGCATCTTTTTCTAGTTCTTTTTATATGTAATTCAAAAGCAAAGCAGGAGAAATACTTGCATCATTGTTTGATGTATTTGAATAAATAAATAAAACAAACCTGGCACAATAAAGTGGAGTTCAAACCTTCTTTAACCTGAATTCAGAAGTTTGCTTTAGCTCTGTTTCAGAATCATATCGTTTAATACAGGAATTCTTTCTTGCAATGTATGATACTGTAATAACTTTGCACAGAATCTGGAAGACTGATGTTTCCTCTCATAATCAAATGCTAGGAAGTCAGTCTAATCAATTTGAGAGATACTTGATTAGTGCTGGAAGTGTAATTGATTCACATTCAGCCTAAGCCTGTGCAATCCTGGCCTAAACTAGATCTGGGGTTTGTCCATGGACACCCTCACTAGTAGGAGATGGACTGAGTGTTTTGAGAACACACAAGAATAAAGCCAGAGGTGTCTCTTGAGGGCTAAGGCTTGTTAGAGAGTAAATGGCTGACCAGATCAACCCTACATGCACATAAAAATGGAAGAGACAAACTCATCTCTAGCTAACCCTTTGTAAAATTTAGTTTCTTCACTGAACATAAAATGTTACCAAGTTTAGGAATTCTGTGTCTGTTACACTTTCGAGAGGCCTACAAGAATAATTTCCAAAGATGCAAATGGCATTGTTCCAAGAACTGACAAACAACTGTTGTACTTTTTCCCCTAGTTAAATTGACATTTTATTTAAAAAAACCAAAAGCATTATTAAACTATTTTTTCCCTAGTAATTCACAAACTGTTTCATGTTACCAAGTTTAGGAATTCTGTGTCTGTTACACTTTCGAGAGGCCTACAAGAATAATTTCCAAAGATGCAAATGGCATTGTTCCAAGAACTGACAAACAACTGTTGTACTTTTTCCCCTAGTTAAATTGACATTTTATTTAAAAAAACCAAAAGCATTATTAAACTATTTTTTCCCTAGTAATTCACAAACTGTTTCCAAAACATAGAACTCAAC